TTATTATTATTATAGTATAGATAGCTGAATGTATTATAATTGCACAGACTGCACAGGTGGCACCTGTTAGTAAATTAGAGGAAAGTGAAGCGAGCAGTCTCGCCCATGGCTAGTAATGGCCCCCAGCCAGTGAACACTCTCTGTACCCATGTCAGCAGGGAGTCACACAGCTCCCCTTCCCTCCTGGCACTCATGTTCGCTCAGTCCCCGGCTCCTCCTGTCACTCTGCTCCGAGGCTCGGTTGATTCGCGCTAGGCCGCTCCGGAGATTGACTGTTTATGAGCCCTCGCGGCCGCCGTACCGCCAGCGGATTCCAAGCATGCCACGTAACACGCGAAGCATGACGCCCCCTCCTCAGAGCTCCGCCTATCCTGATACAGCGTGCGCGCCGTTACCATGACAACACTTCCCGGATCGGGGTCCTTCCCCGGCAAGACTCTGGAGATATAGCTGTCCGGGATAGCGCCTGATCTGAGAAATTATAGAGACACTGTCACTTGTAGGAATGGACAAAAACTGGTCATGAAATGGAACATGGGAGTGTAGCTAGCTGGATAGCTGCCTCTCCTCCGCTGCCAGGTGTAGGTGGGCTGACCTGCCAGGTGTAGGTGGGTTGATCTGCCAGGTGTAGGTGGGCTGACCTGCCAGGTGTAGGTGGGTTGATCTGCCAGGTGTAGGTGGGCTGACCTGCCAGGTGTAGGTGGGCTGACCTGCCAGGTGTAGGTGGGCTGACCTGCCAGGTGTAGGTGGGTTGATCTGCCAGGTGTAGGTGGGTTGACCTGCCAGGTGTAGGTGGTTTGATCTGCCAGGTGTAGGTGGGTTGATCTGTCAGGTGTAGGTGGGCTGATCTGCCAGGTGTAGGTGGGCTGATCTGCCAGGTGTAGGTGGGCTGGGCTGCCAGGTGTAGGTGGGTTGATCTGCCAGGTGTAGGTGGGCTGATCTGCCAGGTGTAGGTGGGCTGGGCTGGGCTGCCAGGTGTAGGTGGGTTGATCTGCCAGGTGTAGGTGGGCTGATCTGTCAGGTGTAGGTGGGTTGATCTGCCAGGTGTAGGTGGGCTGATCTGCCAGGTGTAGGTGGGTTGATCTGCCAGGTGTAGGTGGGTTGACCTGCCAGGTGTAGGTGGGTTGATCTGTCAGGTGTAGGTGGGTTGATCTGCCAGGTGTAGGTGGGTTGATCTGCCAGGTGTAGGTGGGCTGATCTGCCAGGTGTAGGTGGGCTGACCTGCCAGGTGTAGGTGGGTTGATCTGCCAGGTGTAGGTGGGCTGATCTGCCAGGTGTAGGTGGGCTGGTCTGCCAGGTGTAGGTGGGCTGTTCTGCCAGGTGTAGGTGGGCTGGGCTGGGCTGCCAGGTGTAGGTGGGTTGATATGAAAAGTGTAGGTGGGCTGATCTGTCAGGTGTAGGTGGGTTGATCTGCCAGGTGTAGGTGGGCTGATCTGCCAGGTGTAGGTGGGCTGATCTGCCAGGTGTAG